AACATGAGTAAAAGACAAATATCAAATATCCATTTTCTGGCATTTTTGTGATTGTGTAGATAATGTCCAACCCTAATCAGCATCTAAGACTGAAAAATGAATCAAATTAATTCATTCTCAAATCAATTTCGACTCACTAAGAGTTTGTTCGAGTTTGATTTACTAACTAATCAAACTAAAATTGAACAACGTTATGTGCTTGGTAAACTTTCTAACTTGGCTCGAATTTAGCTTGATTAGCATGAAATTACAATTTATAGTTAAAAAAAATACTCGAGCTCAATTCAATAAAATCTCATTCGATATTGCCAATTCGGTAAAAGTTCATTTGGGTTTGCTTTGATAAATTAAAAAATCAAGTTTGAATACAATTTCAAATTCATTAGAATAATCAAACAAAGTTGAACGCCATAATATTCAACTTAATTAGGCTCATTTCTACTTATCAACATCACATAATGCATTGCCATCCCTAGAAATGGCTTGCAAAAATGTAATTGCTTTTGAAATGTTTTAACGAAATGACAAAATTATCGATACTTGAATCGAAAATGATTTCAGATTTTCCCCCTATTTTACTATTCACATGCTACTTTCTTTTTCGTACAAAACATTATTAAAACCATGAGTGGTACCTTAGGTGTGTATTATGATAAAAAAAATTTGAAAAATAAATCATTTATGAATTTCCAATACAAGAAAATTATGTCAGAATGAAATATAGCTTAAAATAAAAAAAATCTATATAGGCAATTTAGGTGAATAATAATTTCGTTTGGCTTTATATGTTTAATTCTTTTCTTAACCAATTCATCGGTTAAATCATGGGGTTGTTTGGCAAATGAGTTTGTTGCCAAATTTTTTTCTATAAGTTTTTTAATAACTTTAATTATAATAATCTCAAAAAACTCCTCAAAATATTAAAAACACACACAGAAAATTTCTCTTCTTTTCCTTTTTCTCCTTTCTCCTCATATCTCAATCCACCACCTCAACCGTCAGCCAACATCGGTTGGTGCCTATGCCAATGTTGACAACATCTTTTTTCTTCCTCTCCTCCCTTCTCTTATCACTCTTCCCTTCCTCCTCCCTCCCCCGCCACCGTCCTCCAAATTTATGAATTTGGATCAATGATGTTTATTTTTTAAATCTTTAGCCAAAAGATAAAACAAATTCAACTTAATGCTGCAATTTAATTCATTCACAACCTTTTGAATTTAGCATGTTTGATACTCGAAATGCCCAACCACTTTATATATTAAACATTGCTTAATTTGTGTACAAAATTCTAAGTGAATTTTTTGGATTGAATTTTCTAAATTGATCACATATATCAAACCACTTACACATATAATACATCCTCACACACACTCTCGCACAAAGTATACATTTGCTATAAACTTACGTGCAAATACACACACTTAAGTACTCTCTCGCAGTTATTTAATTATTTTTTCTCACGCAAAACACTTTGTGGGATATTTCAATTTAATTATAATACACCCTCATTTGTGAGATATTTCAATTTAATGATATATTCTAGTTAGTTATTAAACATACACAACCTCATCAATTCACTAAATTAATACTTTTAGCACTTAATTTTTAGATTTCATAATTCAGGTTCCGTTTGATAACTCAATTCAGTATTTAAATTTAATTAATTTAGATCTTAACATGTTCAGACGCATTTGATTATCAAAAATAGAACATTTGAATTAATTAATTGACACTGAATTTTCTAAATAAAATTTGTTCCAAACAATGAGTGATAATCTATTCACTTATTACTTAATGTGATATACATTCAAATGTATCAAATATAATATTTAATAATTCAATAATTTAATGGATTCAGATTTTACATTTCAAACTTTATATTTTAATTTTATTAAACGTACCCTCAAATTTCAAACTTCAGTTCAACTAAACCGGGCCTTCGAGATTCTAGGCAGATGTGTGATCTATCTTTTAAGGTGTACTTTCACTTGTACAGCGGATGAGTAAATTCGATGAGCTTTAACATGAAAGAGAGAAATTTTAAGTATTCACTAATAGTTGCATTTAGGGTAACGGTTAACTTGTTATTAGATCGATATGTTAGACAAAGCTTTCTCAATATTAGGGTACTCTGGAGGATTGTGCAATAGGGGTATGTTATTGTCATGAGACATATTCTAATACCACAGCTTGGAGATAAGCTATCAATTTATCTTCATTCAAGTCAAATCATATACACATCACAAATTAATGTTAGAGGTACTTTCCTTGGTTATTTCTCGTGTCACTAAAATTTTAGTTGTGGTAATAGTATGTACATTGTGCTAGGCTTCATTTTTAAATTGGAATAATTTCAGAAACCTCCCTTGAGGTTTCTAATGGTATCACTCACCTCCGCTGAACTTTACAAAATATCATATATCTCCCCTGTCAGATTATTGGGCCCTATTTGTGATATCATTGATGATGAATTGACAGTTATACCCTCATAACTTATGATATATTTCGAAACTATTTTGACAGAATTAGTTAAATTAGTAATGTGAATGATTAACCAACTTAACTACTATTTGCTCTTTATCGTTGGTTTAGCTGTGCACAAAGAGCTATTGGCTTCTATTTTCCAAAATGCAATAGGCACCTTGCCTTTTCCATCAATTTCAGATACACCCCCTGAAATTTTATTGTTGTTAGATGGTTTATACTGTTCAACAAAAATTAAGGTCCCGTTTGGCAAGTGAGTTTTTTGGGTGTTTGTCTAAAATTTTACTGTAATTTACTGTAGAAGTTTTTAAAAAAATTTTAAAGTGTGTAAATTTTTGAATATTTTGAAATGTATAGTTTAAAATTTTTTAAAATTTTTTAAAGATTACTGTAGTTAAAGTTTTAAAAAACTTGTAGCAGACAAACTTGGTAAATAACTCAAGTACCAAACAAGGCCTAAGTTTTTCTCTCTCCCAATACATATTTAAAATTGTTTGTGCATTTGAATTGGGTAAGATTTGATAAACTCTACTTAGTTTTAGGGGAGGTAGCTGATATTTTGTAAAGTTCAAGGGAGGTGAATGATACTGTCAGAAACCTCAGGGAAGGTTTCTAAAATTATCCCTTTTAAATTAGATTAAGGCTTCTTAGATTGATGATAATAATACAGAGTCTCTACACAAACAAATGTTAGCTTTTAGGGTTAAAAACAAAAAAAAATCCCGTGATATATATAATATACAGAAAAGCCCTCCGTGGTTTCAAAACATTCAAAACGACACCTCATATTTTGAATTAAATTGTAAACTAATAGAATTCGTTAGACGTAACGAAATCCGGTAAATTTAACGAAAAATTTAACGGAATCCGGTAAATTTAATAGTAAATTTAACGGAATCTAGTAAATTTAATAGGCGAAACCGTTATTTTCATTAAATTTAACGAATTCTGTTAGTTTACAATTTAGTTCAAAATATGAGGTGTCGTTTTGTATGTTTTGAAATCATGGGAGACTTTTCTGTATATTAAGTATATCACAGGGATTTTTCGTTTTTAACCCTAGATTTTATGATACTATGTGAAAAAAAAAAGATTCATAATTTATATATAAGATTTCAAACGGGGATGGAAATGACATGTTATGAATAAGGAGTTGCTTGCTGGCGTGAAATTTGTTTACACTAACAACTTATCAAATTAATTCTCATGATTTCTTTGTATGTTGTTATCTACTGATGTCCTTCCAGCGAACATAGGGTCTGTTTGGAACCTGAGTTTTTTAGGAATTTGTCTAAAACTTTATTGTAGTGCACCGTAGAAGTTTTTGAAAAAATTTTGTAAAAATTTTTGTAAGGTGAAAAATTTTTTGTAGAAATTTTTGTAAGGTGAAAAACTTTTTTTCCTTTTTTTTTTCTTTCTATTTCTCTTTCTCTTTCTCTTTCTTTTTCTTTCTTTCCTTTTTCTTTTCTTTCCTCTCTTCTTCTTCTTCTTCCTTCCCCCTCCCCCTTCCCCGTTACCTCTGCCTCCCACCTCCAGCATCTCCGCCAGCACCACCAGATCCCCCGCCACCCCTTTCCTCCCCTCTCCCCCGCCACCCCCAAACTTTTCCACCATTCCTTTCCTCCTCCCTCTGCCCGCCACCCTCTCTCTCCGTCCCCCGCCACCCCCTCTGCCCACCATCCCTTTTCTCTCATCTTCGCCGCCACTATCCTCTGCCCGCTAGTGTTACCGCCTGCATCATCTCCATCCGGAAGCCCGGCGAGTTCTCCAATTCCGGCCACTGCAGAGGTTCCATCCGTCGGTGCCAGTGTTCCTTCCATTTCATTCCACTTTCTGTGTCTTCCTCTTCCAACGACAACAGCCGTGTGGTGCAGGGCGGAGCGTGGTGGAAGGGATGGAAGTGCAATTGCCGGAGTTCTGACTCGGATTGCAGCGCCAAGGAAATGGAGAATCGCTCAACAAGCTTCTCGTTGCTCCGCAATGATACTTACTCAGGCGAATTGCTTGGTCGACTCCGGACAGCTTTCTGTGCTTTGAAAGAAAAATCGGGAAGAGTTTTGTGTGCTTTTTGTGAATTGAAAGGGAAAATACCAGCTTGGACGACGTCGTCTTGTTAAAATGTTTCAGAAAGGGACGAAAGTTTTGAGAGAAGTTTTTGGAGTTCCTGTATCACAAGTTATTAAAAAACTAGTATAATACAAACTTGCTCAAAAACTAAGCTTCCAAACAGGGCCATAGTGATAATACTCGTTTTAGCAATAGACCCGGATAGTAAGATTACTGTCCATGTTATTATTATTAATAATCATAATCTTAGGGGCCTGTACAATTTTTATACTATCATGAAAACAGAAAATATAATAATTGAGATAGATCCGATCTAAAGATGTGACATGTGCTAATATTCATTGGATTGATATTTTATTATTGAAAATAAATTAGATAATAAATACACAGTTTGGAATATAATTTCATGTTTCGTGTTTTCCAAAATTTGAGATATGATGTACACTTGAAAAACAAAAAAAAAATCATCTGATGCACGTCTGTTATACTGCGAATAAAAGCAGTACCATCTGAAACATTAGTAATAACCATCATAGGACTCGGGAGCCACCTGGATGCCTTGTATTCTTATATTCATGATCCATAAACGAAACACGACATCATTGAACTAAACAAAATACGCACGACCCCCCAGCATTCGCGGTCCAGTCAAGGCAAGATGAAGATCGTTCGTAGAGACCTAGTACCCGATGGCCCTGGTAGTGTCAAGGTAAATACCTTTGCAATTACTAGTAAGGAGTTTCTTTCTTGTGAGCAATCATTAGGGGGGATTTTAAATTATTGCTGTTGAATTGGGAGCTATGGTACAGATGGTTCCCGAAGAAGCAGACGATTTGTGGATTGCTTATAATTTGATTGCTGAGGGCGACACTGTCTTAGCTGTTACTGTCAGGTAAGCCACCCCCCCCCCAAAAAAAATCGCATGCCCCCTCCCCCATCAAAAAAAAAAAAAAAATTCTCTTTCTGTTTTTATATAGAAATTTGAAAGTTGGGTTAATTTTTCTGAATTTCAAGCCTATAAAGTTTGAAACTTTAGTGGATAAACTGTTTGGTTATATCAAAATATAAAAAATTTGGGCAAAGACTGGAACTTTGAATTTGGAATTTCAAGAGTTTGATTACTTTACAAAGCTGTTTAAACATCACTTTAGTTCTATACTTAGTTGCTGCTGATGCTAACATTGTTTATAGTTATATGTGCACATACGACATGGGATATCCACTTGGGCAGATCATATCATAGTGATTGGTTGGGGGGGGGGGGGTGTTCTACGTTCCAGCCCGTTTGATGATGCATTGTCAATTGAAAGTAGCAGCCAATTGAGTGAAGAATTATTTTGGAACAGGATGAACATTTTCTGCTAAATTTGTAATATCGAGGGCGATTAAGGTTTGCATGCGCTAATAGTTAAAATGAAGGCCATAACTTGAGAGGGAGGGGGAAAGTTTTGAACTTGATTTCAATTTGTTTAATCTAACATATGCATTGTCAAACTGGTGCTTGATTATAAGCTTTTTCAATATATTATAGGAAAGTTCTGAGGGAAACAGCTTCCGGAGAAAGAGATTCCGAAAGGGTAAAGCTCAGATTAGAAGTTAAGGTTGAGGTATGACAAGTTCAAACCTGTAGCCTCGGCCCGTTTTTCACTTTTAAATTCCCCCTTTTGGATCATCACACATTCAAATTATTGACTGCGTGTAAAAAGTGTTACATGTTTGATTTTGTAATTCTTATATGGAATTTAAGGCTTTAGTTGCTCCTCAAATACGTTATGAAGTTTGTATAACAAGCTTTATATAGATATTCTAATAATATTGGATGTTATATTATTGATAGACAATGGAGTATGATAAAGAAGGGTCTGCTTTACGTATTCGGGGAAAGAATGTTCTGGAGAATGAATATGTCAAGGTCTGCAATCATCCAACTCTACTTCTTTTGCCTCTTCATTACTTTAATATTGCAGTTAAAGATATGTTTATGCCTCTGCAGATAGGTGCATTCCACACGCTGGAAATTGAGCCACATCGACCTTTTGTCTTAAGGAAGGTATGCTTATTGGACCAGATCATAGCATTGTCTTGTGATTTAATTTGGCAAAATTCTTCTGTTTGTCTTTGTAGCGTATACATTATCGGTCTTATATTCTATATTCTATGTTTGTTTAATAGAAATGACATTTCAAATGTGAATGGAGTTGACGTATATATTGTATGGCTTAAATGAGCTCTTTGTCATATTTGCTAGGAAGTCTGGGACTCACTGGCTTTAGAGGTACTCCACCAAGCATCTGGTATGCATTGAAGTACAGAGTTCTTTTCTTTGATCAAGTATGTTAGAAAATGCTAAATGGAAATCGCTTGACATACATTAAGCATCGTATAGTGATTAGAACAGTTTACTCCTATTAATCATCGTTATGTCTCTATTTACTCTGTTAAAACCGCTTGTCTGTATCTTCCACGAGTTTAACAAAAGCTATTTCTTGACTCTGTGTTTGATTGAACTTATACTGATGGCTTAAGTTGTATCTATCTATATTCTGTTTCACTCGTGCTATGAAACTTAATAACTTTATTTAGTCTTTCATTTGCACTTAGTGCCTTGATAAGGTCCTTTAGACATAATTCTGCTTCTCTGACTAGGAACTTTTGTACTTAGACTTGATCACCTTGTCATAATAATGGTTCTCCAAAATCTGCTCTTCTCTGAGAAAGTACAAGTGAAAGTATTGTTTGATCTTCACTTATTGCACTTTTCTGGTGATTAAATCTGTAGCCATACCCTGATGATGCAATGTTGTATCAGAAAGTGTTTTAGGTTCACTTTGCATTCGAGAAAAAAACCAATAAAGGATAGAGTTACAATTGAGGATTTTCAATATAATTGGGTATTTTTTGTTAGATCAAACAGTTTCATGGATACTTGGTGAGGTTTCTATGATGCACTGAAAAATTAATGGAAACATTCTATTAGAAGCCTGTATTGTGGCTCATTGTTCCAATGATTGCAGATCCATCTGCCAGTGCTGATCTAGGAGTGGTTTTAATGCAAGAAGGATTGGCCCATATTTTTCTTGTTGGTAAAAGGTAATTTTGATGGATATGGGTATGGTATATTCTTGATGTCTTTTGTGATATGAGTAAGGTAACCATCTAGCTAGAAATTGGAGGTCATCTCTGTTTAATGATGATGCAATTTTTCTTGATTTGTCTTTTTCTGCACTGAGATCCATGTTTAACCCCTAGAATTCAAGAAACTTAAAGATATTGACATGCACTGATTCCATAAAACAGCTGAATTGTACATGGTATTGCTGGAACAATGCAAACTTGTCCATTTCACTGTGCCCTAAGAGGATGTGCATATTACATTTGTTTTTATAAAACACTAGATCCATAATTAAGTGAAAAATCAGGATATCATCTAGTATCACGATCCATCATCTCTAGTTTGTGAAGAATATGCAATTGCTTTTTTCCTTTTTTATCTTTTGGTTGGCTGTTTTCATTATGTTGGAGTCAATTTTGAAATTCAGGTATTGATTGAATTTGTGGTATAAAGTTGTCATTTATTTAAGTTCAGAATCATACCCTGATTGAATCATGTGAATCAGCATTTGGTTGAAACTATTTTGGTCTGCTTTAGCATGTCATAATTGATAATTTGCTTTTATCTTCTCAATCATTTGATATGCCTGGTTGATCTGTCAACAGTGTAACTATCACCCGTTCTCGTATAGAGACATCAATACCTCGCAAGCATGGGCCTGCAGTTGCGGGTTATGATAAAGTATGTACTGTAATTAGTTTAAAGTAAATTCCTTATTTTATTTTATTTTGAATTGCCACAGAGTAAAAGCAGTAATCTTTTCAGAGTCCAAATGTTTTCAGTTATTGTACTTATCAATTATCTTTGTATTAACAGGCTTTGAACAAATTCTTCGAAAATGTCCTAAAGGTAAGAAAAATGTTAAGTTTTAATGAAATCTGATGTTTGCCCGACAATTTAAGACCTTTTCTCAAGAAGTTTGTGTAAGAATTTGTTTGTGGCTCCTAGGCATTTCGTCAACATATTGACTTCAATGTTGTTCGTTGTGCTGTGATCGCAAGTCCTGGATTTACAAAGGTTTGTCTTAGTCTGACAGTAACTATTGCTTCTAGCTTTGGTGGACTAGGATTTGTTAAGTTTACAGATTCATTGATTTATTCCATTAGAATTTCACAAGAAATTTGAATGAATGCTGCAAAAGATTGGATTCCAGTTTTACTTGACTACTTATGCTGAATCCAGGATCAATTTCATCGTCACCTACTGTTGGAGGCAGAAAGGAAGCAACTGAGACCTATTATAGAGAACAAGTCTCGCATAGTACTTGTGCATACAACATCAGGATACAAGTATGATTCACTCTCTGTTCCCTGTTTCAGCTTTGTCTTGACCGTGTGCCAATAGTCTTTCAACCTGTTCTCTACCAAGTCTGACACAGTCTATATTCTTTCCCAACCTGTCCCAAATTTGAACCTACCTCTACCCATCCCTGTCTCTAATCTGTCTTGACCATGTCCCATCTTTGTCCCATCCCAGCCTATTGAAGCCTTCCAAGTGATGAACCCAAGAGGAGAAAAACCCCTTTTATACACACACGCACACACACATATACATATATATATTTGTGTTTGAGCCTCTAGTAAAAGTATGAGTGCATGTGGTATAAATGCAAGGATATATTACATACGCTAGCTACATCTGGGTTGACGTTTGAGGGTTCTTGGCAAAAGACAGATGTGGATTTTATAAGGATCAACCTGAGATTTTTTTACTTTCAACAAATTGAAAGTGAAACCTATGTATTTTTTTTATAGCATATATGTCTTATCTATATGCCAGCTTAATTTGATTATGTAAAACTAAATTTGTGTCTTTGGTAGTTAAACTCAATTCACAATGTGTTAGCAGCATTTCCATGCCTTTTTGACTCATGAAGTTCCTTTTTGTTAGTATCTTTAGCGATCAGTAAATGCTTTATACATTCTTTATTTTGCTTGATTCTTTCTTGGCACAATTGTTTTGCTGTGTTTGAAATAGTTTCTAGGAAGCTGATTCTGCTATCATCAACAATCTGCACAGGCATAGTTTGAGAGAGGTTTTGGATGCACCAAATGTTATGAATATGATAAAAGATACAAAAGCCGCTAAAGAGGTAGTTTAGAGTACTTGATTGTCAATTTGCATTTCAGTTCATCACTTTGCATTTACTAGGAAGTTGTACTTCCAGTTAGGCATGTTAATCTTGTTCCCTCTGTGATTTTTTCCAGGTCCAAGCCCTGAAAGAATTCTTCTCAATGCTTTCAAATGTCAGGTTCTACCCTAGTTTTATACGTTCAATGTGCTCATATATCTATGGAAGCCTGCTAAAATAAGTAACAGCAAAGTGGCAAACCAAGTAAACGATTAAAAAAAAAATCGAGCTCTTTTGAAGACTTTCATCTTTAGGCATAAGCTTTCGGTAATACCTTCATACGATGGCTTTGTAGTATTGGGTTGACTGGATTTGGTGTTTCTGTTTCTCTTTAGGGCCCTTTTGCATGTTTTTAAACCAATCATGCTCTCGGATGCATTTGGTTACCTGAGGGTTTATTTTTTCCCCCCTATATTGAAAAAAGTCAAAATCAGTTTTTGTTGTGTTTTCTAGGATTCTGATCGTGCATGCTACGGGCCAAAGCATGTTGAAGTTGCTCATGAACGGATGGCAGTCCAGACACTTCTCATCACTGATGAGCTCTTCAGGCTAGTGTTATTAGTTCTTAAATGTTAGATTTAACTTGCTGTGCCCAAAGCTGTGGATAAAATATTTTGCCCCAGTCGCTTGCTTATTTGATGCTTTGTCTGTATAGTAAGTACGTTTGTATAAATCCTGTGGAAATAAATAATTTCTTTCTCTTTTGAGAATTTGGTTCATTAAGGTTGTGCCTTCCATGTGAGAGCACCGGTTATTTTATTTCCAGACACATATTTCCAAACTTTTCCCTAAAAAGATTTTGCTTTTACAAACTTAAGTTTTACAGAACATTTGGGTTGTCAGGCTAGAGGAAGATGAAGGTCAGAAATTATTGTCTTTCTTTTTCTAATGGTAAAAGGTGGGGAGAGGTCATTGTGTTTTGAACTATGCCAAGGCTGAAACTACTACTATGGTTGATCCATGCTCTCAAAAGTTACAGTAATGATGATAATTAGCCCTTAGCCAAACTGACAGGAGAAATGGATTCATATTAGATGATTCCTGTGGTCGGGCGAAGGTTTTGTTGCATTTGGGTACAATTCATGATTATGTTTGGGTACACATTTCATTTTGGCATTTTTAGTAAGTTACAATGAAAACTTGCTTCAACCTGTCATAGAATCGTGCAGCTGAACATGTTTAAAATTTTTCTCCCAAGAAGTCTCTCTTTCAGTATATTAAATTTAGTTATAAAGACGATGTCTTTCACATGCACCATATATATCCATTTGCTCTTTGGCATGTAATATGATGAACTTGGATTCTGGAATAGCTACAGCTCATGATTTTCTCTTTCTTTTCTTTTTTTTGACTTCTTAGTCTGTCTTTTCCTATTGTTTTGTCCTTTTCAAAGACGGATAAGTTTAACCTGGTTAGGACATGCCACATTAATGCATTTTTTTCTTCAGGAGTTCTGATATAGAAGCGAGGCAAAAGTATGCCAATTTGGTGAAATCAGTCAAGGAGTCAGGCGGCACTGCTTACATCTTCTCATCCATGCATGTTTCAGGAGAACGTGAGTGCAATTTTTTTATTGAAATCCTCTTTTCTTCTTTAGGCTAACATCCTGTCTGAACTTTCATGCAAATAATTTGGATCTCCCTGTTAAATTTTGTTGCCTTGAGCTCTGAAAACAAAATGCTACAGTTAGTCAGATAAACTTGCTTGAAATCTGTTTCTGGTGTTATTGACTGTGGGTGAATTACAAAATGGTTTTTTCGTGGATTTTTCCTTTCTCCCCTGCAAAAGGCTGGTGTGCTGATATCTTTCTGTCATAAGGCGCTTCAGGAATCTGTTTAACTTACTTTTATGTAATTTATGCACTCCCTTCTTTTTTTTCCTTTGTTTTTTCGATACGGTGCTGTAATCACTGATTCTTTTTTTTTTTTTTTTTTAAACACAACAGAGCTGGCACAGCTGTCTGGTATTGCTGCAATTCTTCGCTTTCCTCTCCCAGACCTAGAAGATATAGAGATGTGATAGGAGAGTTGCGAAACTGATAGCTCCATATGTGGTTGTACAATTACTACTATTATTTCTTTCCTCAAGTTCTTTATGTACCACCAGTGATGAAACTTTACTCTTTTTTTTTTTTTTGAGGGAGGATAAAACTTTAGCACTAGATTTATAGGCCATGGAGGAGGCTTTACAAGGGGGATTTAACCTATAGGCTGTATGCATACTGGTTTTTGTCCAAGTAATCTACATCCATTGTTGTAGTTCGCAAGCTACTTTCTTGATAAGAAAGGTCATGGTACCTTACTCTTGCCGCATGTCATAATTGTGGTTGTCTCGGGTTTTTCTTAAAGGGTTAACTTGTGATTCATTTATATTGATCAAAGGTGTCCGCAAAAATTTGCAACTTGTAACGTTCCAGCTATTTATTACATGCCTGGTCCATCAATTAGGGAAACATTACTGGGTTTCTGCTGTATTTTGTGTTCTGTCCTTTTATTGATTCCCAAGAAATGATTTGGGAGGGTTGATTTGAACTTGCAACCTCAAGGTAACGAAGATGACTGTATCTAAAAGAATTCCCTCCATTTCAAAGTAATAATGTTTTCGTAGCTGCCGAATTATAGCTCGTTTTGGTGCCACCCTCAATTTTTCTATGTAAATTGCAAACGGCTTTTGATTTCTTAATTCGCGTTGTAAATTGCCGAGCGACATCTGCATCAGAAGCGACAAAAAATGACTCATCCCCTCAAATAATCCACAGATGAATAAACAACTCAAAGAGTGGTGCAAAGCCCAAGAAGATTAGCACTCAGCAAACCAGCAGATATCTGTAGAAACTCTCTACTTCTGTTCTCTTCTCCTTTATCTGTCCTTCATTCAAGCCAGAGTGGACTTTCTCCTTGTGCCACGTTTACCGTTGTGGGCTCAAGTAGAATAAGATGAGAAGTGAAGGCCTAAATGCTCAAGCTGCTCGATGGCGGTTATAAGATTACGAATTTTACGCATGCTTTCACAAACACCATGCTCTCACCGTTTCACCGTTACCTTTTCCCTATAACCAACCCAAAGACCGAAAAATCTCGGGCCAAGTACGACTGGAAAACTGAGTAAGTTCTCCCTTAGTTTCTTCTTCAGTTTTGTTGTTTCTGCACCGAGATCTTGTGCTATAGTCAAGACCATGGTGTTTAAAGATGTGTTCATGGAATATAAATACTAGTAGAACGAGTTCTTAACTTCTTATGGATTTGGAGTAGCATTCAAGGCTGTCTGAAATCATTTAAGTTTGCAAACTTTTTTTTTTTTTTTTTTTTTAATTCTAGTGTAAGTTTGCGAACTTTACCTGTATGTGGAATTAGATAATACTACCTGATTTTCTATCCTTTAAAGATCTGATAACTGATATTCTGCTAGACACTTCGGTTAATTTGTCAAGAAAAATGCAACAAGCTAAAATAGTAGCGTTTGGCATAGCTATAAATCATGAAGAGTTGCAAAGTTGAGATAAATTGACAAGTATGTAGTAGTTCTGGAGGCTCAGCACCTTCTAGCACTGTATATAATCGAGAACTATCGAAAGCAGGCTCCTTTGCTCTCTTATTTTCCTGCACTGCAAATTGATTTTCGAATTCTCCGGCGTATATAACAGTAGAGGCTTAGGATATGTTGTTTAACATGTTAAATCAAGCTGCTTCATTGTTTTGGAGTAACAACATGATATAAATGTTCTTAATTGGGGTTGAATTCATACCATGTTTCTAGTCGGTAGTGGGAAGAGCAAGATGGGACAAGGCGAGGAAGCGAGGAAAGATGAATCCAATGTTGAGATTCTAGAAAGAGGGGAAATATTCTTCTTTTACCGGGCTAAAGTTAATAAGGAGGAAGCTCACAGTCCGGACGATGTGCAACGCTTATACATTGTCCTTCGGCCTGAGTCTGGTGAGAAATCTGGTGAAGAGAAACAAGATTCTAGTTCTGGCAAGGAAGGTGCTAAGATGCATGAATCTGGGAATGATGAAAAGGAAACTCGCCCTGGCGATGAAGGTGGACGTGGTGCTGAAAAGGTGGACATTGAGAAGCAACCTTTGCTGCGATTCATTGTCATGGGGAAGAAGAGCCTTCCTGATCCAAGCCAGCAGAAGGGCCGACCTTACTGGGGATTTGTCGAGTTGGTTACTACTAGAATTGAAGATGTTAAGGCTGCTCTGAAAGGAGAGGAATATGATACTAACACGAGAGGTCACAGGCGTACAGAGCCTGCTAGAGCGTTGGCTGAAGGCGTTTACCGCATCCTAAGGCACAGCCCTAGAAAGAGAATGCACACACATTTGGTCTACCGGCTTGAATTTCCACCAGAGGATGAGAAGAATGAAGCTCAGGAGTCGCTCAACGTTGAACGCGAAGGGTCATTCCTCATCCAGATTAAGAATCCGGAGCAGCAAGGCACTTCGAGGTTTGCTGGGCTTCAGAGTAAGCGAAAGGCAACATTTCCTGCCCGTCTGCAGGGCCAATTTGGGAATCGACGATTTAATCCAGCCGATCCACCTGATTTTCTAAACTATGAAGGGTGTGAATTTCTGCTTATAGCCGCATCTGATGACATAGAAGAGGAGCTTAGGACAGAAGTAGAAAACTCGCACGATCCATCATGTTCAGATTTAGTCAGGACTTTTGGGGAAACTGCTTCAATCAAACCTCTCCTTGAGGGAACTTGGGTTTAATATTCCCCTTCTTGTTTCCAGTACGATTTGCCAGGATGTTGATAAATGTTGGCAAATCAGGACTTGAGCAGTACTAGCTTTTGGTCGACACAGTAGTTGGTTTGGTGCTTTTGGTTTTGGTAATTCTAGCCTTCTAGGCGTGTTGTCAGCTAGGTAGCTATATCTGTACATAGTTTGGCTTGTTCAGTTTGCTTGAATCTTATCGTCTCTATCTTCCGACAAATTGCAGCAGGTCATGCTTCAAAATTACCATCAAGAAGAAACTGAATTTCAAAGAATCAAAGCATAATCCATATTCCATACCCTGAAGTGCTGCACGGAGTTCATGGATATAATAACTAGCTATAACAAGTCACTTTAAAGGCACTTATATGGAAGTTCTCCAGTAAATTAAAACTTGAAAGGAAAGGAAAAACGGCTTTCAAGAAATACTGTGCCGCCGGAGAACGGTCAATCAGGCAGCGAACTTATTACTAAGGCCCTTGTTTTGGGGTACTACTGCAAAGCTGCAAACAGGACATTTCCTCAGTTTCATACACAACTTGTTTGGCAGTCCAAACCTTTTGACACGATGTGGCTGTCGAAGGCAAGTTTTGGCGTGGTAGCTAGAGCTGCTGAATGGTAGTAGCTTTCTTCTTGCTCCACTTCCAAGTGTAGGTGACCTGTATTTTGTTTCTCAAATTGCGAATCCAAATTGACGAGTCTCCAAATCAGCATCCAAGGCAGAGAAATCAAAGAGTCGATTTGCCATCTCCATTGTACATTTCACTGAGGTTAGTTGAACGCTTTGATTCATAACCAATTACAAGAATAGCCCTACCATCAAGAATTTGCTGAAAATTATTCAATAGACTACATATTCTTTTACATTTGTATCTAAATCTCTGTCTTTTAAACCCACACATCGCCAGATTTTATCGTATTCTTCACTCTTCTATCTGAACTAGGCACAGAATTCAGACGTAAAACGATTGTTTAGTCTCTTACATACTAAAATCCTCCTTCCTAGAAAAGCATTCCCGGGCGGCAAATAAGTAAGCCACCAACATGCATGCACGTCAACCTCCGATATTTTACGTAGTCAATCAATCATTAGGCTGTTGGGCTAACATATTGACAAGGAAGACTCATCATCAATACAAGAATTTCACAAAAAAAATTGTAGTTTGCATGCTGACTAATGATCGAGAGTGTGATCAGTACTCGATATATCCTCAACTAATACAAACGATAGACAGACAGATATATATCTACAGGAACATGTGTATGGTTCGAAGCTACTAATCTAATGAAGGATGATCACCTGGGATGCACTTAATGTAATGGATGATGGGGTCCAATTGAAAGAGATGAATTTGGGAAAGAGGGGGGTCCGGACGCATGAGCGTTGTTATCAAAGCCTCACTTTCTGCAATACTAAACTCTCTTTATTTATTTTGACGTCGCAAGGAGAGCCCACTTGCACTCAGAACATTGATTATTAATTAGCAGGTATAATTACGCGGGTTGGTCAAGATATTTGACTCAAATTAATAAGGCCGGCGACATCGTGGCGAGAGTTACGGTAAATTCATTTAGGAGGATTAACTTTTTATATGCAAGTGTTGTGATTTTTTTTATCCTGATAAATGTACGATACATGTATATGATTTAAATTTATGTTATGTAGTACGATCTGATCTAAACCTGTTAGATAGTGTTTGTTTGTAGGAAAAAGTGCAGGAAAGTGAAGAAAAGTTAGTTATTTTTTCCTTCATGCATGTTTGGTTGGCAAGAATGTTGAAAATTTTTCTTGCACTTACCTGCAAAATTTGTAGGATTTTGAAGGAAAATAATAGTTAGTTACTCACAAAAGTTTCAATAACTGCTATTAACTGTTATTAGTTTTCTATATTTTCTCTATATCTTTTTTAGTAACCAAACGCGTATAAAATTATACTTTTTTTTAAAATAATATTTCGCTTGTATCATAAACACATTTTTCAGCCTATCTTTTTATATTCCCAATCACCTTTTTATCTCACATATATCACATCACAAAAAGTGCTACAGTAATTATTCCAAATAATATTTCAAATAATACACTATCCAAACAAACAATATTCATTCATTTGTGCAATTTTCCCTTTGTCATTTTTGGCTTTTTGTGACCAAGAATTGGCCTTATAGCATCGGCGTACCATGGAGATTGGTACCTAGTGGAAATCCAGAAGAAAGCAACAGGAAGCATGATTCATTCAGCTGGCATCTGGCGACCAACATTGATGATTCATTCGGCTGCTAGTATTTTACTTTTTTTTAGTACTAGTATATATTGTCGCGTGTACGTAGTACTTTTTCGGTTTTAGCCGTCACAATATTCACTTGTCGTACATGGCACTACTACTACTTGTTGAAACCCAAGAAAAATGTATACGTGCATGAGATGGTTTGCCATAATGCCCTACGATATTTACTTGTTTTGTTCACATAACGTAGTGCTATATTGTCGTACCTTATTTTTTCATGCAAAACTAATCACTGAAAATGATGCTTACTTGTCAAACCGCAGAATTTAATGCGGTGTAGCTGCTTCATTGAGTATTCGATCTTTTAACCTGTTATATAAGAGTAATCAATCCTATTCTTCTTATCAAATTTAATTCTCATGTACATGAGATAAAAGTTTATAGGTACGATAAATTGAATTTAATTCTCAGTTACAGTGCCCGTACAATTTACTACTGTTGGTGTCAAATTTCCACCATATTAAACTCATAACTTTCTACAATTCTACTCACGTGTATTGTTGGATACTTAGTCGGATGACTGTGCTCAAGTACTTCCAAGTTTAAACGGGAGAGCAATTTCGTTGATTAGTTCCAAAACAAAAAAAAAAACCCTTCCACTATTTTCTTTATAGATATGAATTGTGAAACGATTAATTGATGACATTATAAATTGTGATTCGAGGGAAGGTAGGGAGAGAATATAAGTGAGAGATTTCGAATTCGAACCCTTGCATTTATATTATTATTAAAAAAAAGTTTGATGACATTATCAACATTATATAATACATGCAAATTCTTATTCTCAAAGATGTCGATTTTCAGTTCAAGAATTTTCTCACTAAAGTAGTGCAGAGTTGATACCTCGACGCAAGACGTGGGGGTAACAACAACTGGACCGTTGCCATTTGCGAGTCGTGAAACAAAAGTGCAGGGTTGACACTTCGACACAAGCCCACTACAATTCCACAAGCCAGTGGAGTCGCTCGTGTTTCAAAGGTCCAACCAACCAAAGCGCGTATTTCTCTCAAAGCCTGTCCGAAATACAAAATACATTAGCAAAATGACAGTGAGGATGAGGATCCGTAGCAGAGTACATTTATACGCCATTTTTTCATTTTGCTGACTAAAAATTAATCAAAACCCTTTAAAGCTTAGACCAATTCTCACTTGATTATCACTTTGTTCTAATCAAAATCTCAACTTTTTCCTTTTTTGTATTCTATCAGTCCTTAACTACCCAGACCTTCCCATGAAGCAGAGAGTTTCCTCAACAAGTACAGAAGTTGTTTACTTTCTTGCTAGACCTGTTGTCTTTATTGTTTCTTTCTCAGCTCATCAGCTTATCTAACAAATACCTGTTCTTCCCCGAGCTTAGTAATTTGTGGGGTTTTTCTTTTTTGATTGCATGATTTATTTTCGTTATTCTTTTTTCTTCCTCGTTCTTTGATTGTATATTGTATTGTATGATTATAATTTGTTATTGTAATTCAACATCAGTGGTTAATAGATGTTAATAGCTATATGCTATCTCTAGGAATCTTGGATATTTGAGTGAATTATATATTGATTGCATGACGTAGATGGGCTTTGAATTGGACCCTTGATGGCAATTTGGAGTTGATTAATCGGTTTTGACTAGCTGAGGTTTCATTTTGCCTGGATTGCAGTAAAAGTTCAGAGAGTAGATCTTTCTGTTCCTGTAAGCATACTAGTGCACCTGAAAACCGGCAGATCTCATATATGCGTTACTAGGGAGGAGTTTTTTATTAAGGGATTGATTTTAGCGTGGTTAAGACTATATGGGGAATACTTGTGTTGGACCAAGCATTTCCAAAAATGGTTTCTTGCAGTCTGTTTCTGCTGCAATGTGGCGATCTCGGTCACCAGATGATATTATGGGTACTGGAGAGAGTGTACACACTGAAACACCAAATGCTGGTAAAGAACCTGAATCACCAATCCCTGTCCAGAGAAAGCCACCTGAACAAGTGAAAATTCCAGAACCAGAACCAGAACCAGAACCAAAAAAAGAGCCTCCAGCAAAGCCCAAGAAACCGGTACATTTCAAGAGGGTCGCTAGCGCAGGGCTTAAGGACTATGTTTTACAAACAAGAACTGGTAACTTGAAGGAGTTTTTCAGCTTGGGGAAGAAATTAGGACAAGGTCAATTTGGAACAACATTTCTTTGCGTGGAGAAAGCAACTGGAAATCAATATGCTTGCAAATCAATTGCCAAGAGGAAGTTATTGACAGATGATGATGTGGAAGATGTCAGAAGGGAAATTCAGATAATGCATCATTTAGCAGGGCATCCTAATGTCATATCAATTCAAGGGGCTTATGAAAATGCTATTGCTGTTCATGTTGTTATGGAGGTGTGTGCAGGGGGTGAACTTTTTGATAGGATTATTCAGCGCGGGCATTACACAGAAAGAAAGGCAGCTGAGCTTACCAGGACAATTGTTGGAGTTGTAGAAGCCTGTCACTCTTTAGGAGTGATGCATCGCGATCTTAAGCCCGAGAATTTTCTTTTCATTGATCAGAAGGAGGATTCACTGCTCAAAACCATTGACTTTGGCTTGTCTGTATTCTTCAAGCCAGGTATCCCCAGTGTAATTTGAATTGCCATCTATTTTAGACTCAGTTTATTATTTTCTTGTCAAGTAGATCTTCGAGTAGATTATCCTTTCTAAGAAAGGATATCTTGCAACTCCCTTGAACTATGTTTTTTGAATTGAAGTAGAAAATGATGCCTGCCATCAAAAGTACTTCTACTGCAATTTGAAATGACAAATATACTGTTGAAAACATTCATGCTTAAGTTTGAACAATTATTTTGCATTCTTTTCTTCTTTTAATCAATAATTTCTTTTCTTCATTGGGGTGACATGGTTTTCAAATTTCAATTGTTCAAAGTGCTGATGCATTCTAATGGTGACCCTGGTCTCTTCCATTTTTAGCCCTCCAATTGGTGTTAAGTCATGTTGCTAGTAATCTTTCTTCATATTGCTCATAGCTTTTATACACTTTGAATACTTCACTCTAGAAATTTCAACAAAATCCTGTGATATTTTCAAAAGCATGGACTTTTGGATACCTCACTCCAGAAATTTTAACTACATTACATGATGTTTTCAAAAACATGGACTTTTGCTTTAGTTGCAATCAAATATAGAGTCTGAATAAGATTATAAAAATGAATCTTTTTGGTTTTATTGGACCACTCTGACAGTAAGTGTAGTTTCTTGCTTTTCTTAGTAGGAACTTCCAATGCAACATAAGCTCGATTATTGTTCTGTGTGCCAAAGATTATTTTACTACATCATCCCGAAGTGGACTTGCAATTTTGAATTTGTTGTCTGAATTTGTGAATATGTATCTTGCAATTCTCATAAACAAAGAGCTGTATTCATTTTTCATACTCCTTTGCATGTGGTTCACTGGCTGTTAATATCAATGAGCTACTGATAGTTGCATTTTTCTATTTTAGGGGAAAAGTTTACTGATGTAGTTGGCAGTCCATATTATGTGGCACCAGAAGTCCTCAAAAAGCGTTATGGTCCCGAGGCAGATGTCTGGAGTGCTGGAGTAATTGTGTACATTTTACTGAGTGGAGTACCTCCATTTTGGGCTGGTGAGATTTTTGAGGGCCCTTTAGAAGATTAAATCTCTCATTTGTGACCACAACGTTTTTCTTTTATTGGTCATAGATTAATGGCTACTTTTACAGAAACTGAACAAGAAATATTCGAGGAAGTCCTGCATGGTGATCTTGACTTCTCTTCTGATCCCTGGCCAAGTATATCAGAAAGTGCCAAGGATTTGGTGAGAAAAATGCTCGTCAGAGATCCTCGCAGGCGTCTAACTGCACATGAAGTCTTGTGTAAGTGCATATGCTTCAAACATTTGAACTGCTTAAATGATTGCCATTAATAATGTATGAGATTGAGTGGTATATGACAAACTTATGTGCTTTTAAGAAACTTGTATCAGCAGCTGTCAACCCATGGTGCAAAGCTTCCATTTCCTATGTCACTATCTAATTAAATGAAGTTTATGCTAATATCTTGGTGTTCATCTATCTGTCACTCTTCTTTAAATTTTAAATGACGTTGTCCAGCTGTCTTGTTCTTTTAGATATTCAATGTCCTTATTTTGGAGTTCCTAGAACATGGTTTTTTGGCTGCACAAACTGGGTCCATAAAAAAGAAGTGCCTTTCTGAATTGTCCAAGCGGTTTCCAATATTCTGTTTCAGAGAACTATTTGACTTGTATTCTGTTTCAATATTATTTTTTTTCATCCCTTTTGACTCCAAATGGATTCCTTATACCTTGGCCTGCGTCTAGTGTATACCCTACAAAATCTCACGTCTAATTTTGAATGTTTTAATAGTCGACAATGTCCATTATGTTAGCGGTTGTTGGTAAAAGAACAGCTCTAAGATGTTCGTTTCGGAGTGCAGTTTTGTGGCGGTAGCACAATTTACATTAATTATGACGGTTCATTAATGAAAGACTCTTTATTGTGTCTGTCATTTTCCTTATCTTTTTGGTCACTATTAGGTGTTTCTCTGTGGGGGTTAACTGCTGGTAATTAGTGCAAGTTAGTTTACATTTGACAGTTTTCTGCCGCAGATCACTTCTGGTGATCATGTTTCCATCATTTAAAATCTTGATCTTCATGGATCTTGATGCCAAATTATTGATAGATTAGATTTTAATGTAGACATTAATAGCAGGATACATGCGGCTGTAGAATTGTATAAATTCTTTTAGATGCCAATGACAACCTAGATTATAATTGATTGTTATCCGCAAATGTCTGGGAGAATCTTTCATCTTGGATAAGGAAAGTGGTGTCTAATCAGATGAAAAAATTTAATTGTTATTTCTCAAGTTGTTGCCCCATCTTACACACTAATTCGGCATGTATTGTACTCAAATACATCTCAATTTTTTCCCTTAATTGTTTTATTTCTTCTTTTCTGTTGGGGACTTGGTCAGCAAGTTGCGGGGACTGTGCTTTCAATTTGTGCATGTGTTTTGCATGTTTGTGTGTAGATAGTTCATTCCACTAGGCTTAGCAGAATTCAACTTGGTATACTTTTCGTATGCAAACATGGCTATAAACTTATATGTTTCTTTTGCTTATTTAGAAACTCTGAATCTGCCAGGTCTAAGTTCTTTTACTGCTTTTCTATTTTCTTGACATACTTCGGCAACAATATGAGTTGAGTTATTATGGAGACAGGAACTATGCTATGTGAAAATTTCCAGCTTGCTTATAATTCTTTATGTTTATGATGCTTGTTTGTAGCTCAAAATACTCTGTTGGTTGTTCATAATAATGACCTTGTTGCTGATGAGCTTTGAAATTGGTGCAGGCCACCCTTGGGTTCAAATTGATGGTGTTGCTCCTGACAAGCCTCTTGACTCTGCAGTCTTAAGTCGCATGAAACAATTTTCTGCTATGAACAAACTCAAGAAAATGGCTTTAAGAGTACGTCCATTTAAAACAAACTTTCTAGGTTAATTAATCTGTCAAATTACAATTTCAATGCTACTTGCAAAAGGAAAGCTTGACAACGTATGTAATCTAGGTCTCAACAATGTTATGCTTTTATCTATCTGGTTATGAAATGCTTGTTTTCCTTGTTTTAGGTCATAGCGGAGACCCTATCTGAAGAAGAAATAGCTGGACTAAAAGAAATGTTTAAGATGATAGACACGGATAATAGTGGACAAATCAGTTTTGAAGAGCTCAAGGTTGGATTAAAACGAGTGGGTGCTAATCTTAAGGAATCAGAGATTTATGATCTGATGCAAGCAGTAAGTATTAAATGCAACGCATAAGCAGTTTACTAGCTGTATGAGTGTTAGACCATCAAACTATTTTTTTCCTCCAAAATGCTCTCTTGAGCAAAATTTAGATTATTCATTTTACTTTCATGCTAATAGAACTGGTATTGGTGATGACAAGTTACCACACTAGTATTTGTCACCGAAGATACCAGCTATCTGTGGAATGTCTTCAAATTGAATTCTGTTATGTTTCTTACACATTTCTGCCTTGTCTGCTGGTATGTATATCCACAAATGTTCGTGTAATTTGATTAATTTTGTGAATTTCTAGGCTGATGTGGACAACAGTGGAACAATTGATTATGGGGAGTTCATAGCTGCAACATTGCATCTTAATAAGATTGAAAGAGAGGATCACCTGTTTGCTGCTTTCAACTATTTTGATAAGGACGGAAGTGGTTACATCACCCGGGATGAACTTCAACAAGCCTGCAAGGAGTTTGGCATCGATGATACCAGCCTGGACGATATGATCAGAGATGTTGACCAGGATAATGTAAGTAATACTTTATAATTGTAATTCCTCTCCGTGATTGAAAAAGCAACTTGTAATTCATTCAAGCTTCCTTTGTTGTTTTATCTTTTAATTATTTAAGAAAAAAAAAAGGTGTGGGATTGGTGAAAGTGGTGGAATGAAAAGATGAGGAAGACAGCCCTCATCATTTTAGGCACAGTAATAAAATTGGACAGACAATTTGGTGATGATGGTTGTAAGCAAGCACCATGCTACTTGGTTTTGTAACATTTGAAGAGGGCCTAATTATTTCTTATTCATGCAGGATGGACGTATTGATTACAATGAGTTCGTTGCCATGATGCAGAGAGGAAATCCAGTTGTTGGAGGTGGCAAGAAGAACCTAGAGAATAGCTTCAGTATTAATTTTAGGGAAGCACTAAAACTTTAGCACTTGAGTCTAAGGAGAGAGGTGTTTTTATCCATTTATTCTTTTTTCCTATACTTTTTCAGTTAGAACAATCTTCATCTCACTTCATTAGAGTGTACAGCAGAAATCATGGTGCTAGAGAAGCAACAACCTTGCTCATTCCTAGCCCTTTTGTCTAAGCTTCCACGGTTCACAGCTTCAACCTGTTTTTGTGGTGGATAATTGCATATTGTATGAAGGCCCCAGAACAAAAAAAAAAAAAAAGAAGGGTCAACTTCCGCTGTTGGCGAGCTATATGCTAGGCATCATCGTTGTTGTCTGGATAATTTCACAATTTAGGTCGATGGCTTTGATTTTCCTCTATGCAATATCTGAGCTATTAAGCCCATCTGAGAGCGTGAATGGTAGGCTGCTTAATTTGAAAAGGATGGACAAATGAGATGTCAATATCACTCTGGCCTAGCAGGGTGCGAGGATTTGTCATTTTGAAAGATTGGCCCTACTGCCTGAACTCTCTAATTAGAGCAAGATTCAGAAAGATTTTGTTAGTGGAACATTTTTGAGAAACGGGATAAACTGTGTCACGCGGACGAGGGGCCCGGTCGGTCACGGCCTGGATGAGGCCTCAAAAATTTGTGCGGCTCAGATCACGTCTTGTAACTCGATTTTCACGTCGTGTGGGACCCACAAAAATATTGTTCTAGTGTTACTCGCTGTTGTTCTATTGTTACATCTTGTACAGATGATGTTACACCGTGTACAAATGGTGTTACACCTTCCGAAGCGGTTGTTCTGACAATCGCTCCAGCCCCGCGTCCGTGTCACGCTAGGGCTGTACGCGCATATTCCTTTGTGGATTGGGCATAAATTTGAATAAAGTTGGCTTTTGTACAAGCTACCAATAAATCACACGTGAGAAGAATATTTTGATCCAGATAAAAGTACTTTATTCCTTAAAAAAAAATACCTAAGTGGTGAGGTGATGAGAATCTATAACTTCATTTGAATTAGTTGTTTTTTTAAAGTGTTTTTAAAATATTTTACTGTAGCTGTGTATATGAAAAACTTTAGCCGTAGATGTTTTTGGAGGAAGTTTTGGAATATATTATGGAGTATCTTTTAAAATTAAAAATTTTTTTAGAGTCCTTTTTTAAAATTAACATTACCACTCACAACTACCACCACCCCCTCCCTCCTCTTTCTCCTTCCTCTCTCTTATTCTCACCACCCCTTGTCCCTCCCTTTCCCCCTAAATTTATTGGCTAAAAATTCTACTCCTAAACTCAAAAAAATTCATCAAATACATTAAAAGCGCTTTTGCCACAATAGTACTATTTTAGCAAAAGCACTGGGTTTAAAGTAAAATGAAACACACCAAATCCTTCTTTTTAATTTTAAAAATAAGTAGAATAACAAGTAACAACTAATATTTAGGGCCCATTTGAGAGTTGCGGTAGTTTATTGAAAAATATTTTCATTTAATGGAGTTTTTAATAAAAACACTTATTAAGTGTTTAAATAGTTTTAAGTATATTTTTTGGATACATAGTTTAATAAATACTTATTGTATTGAATAATGTATAATTTTAAATTTCTTAAATGTATATATCTCTTTATTTAGTTCATAATATAGGATAAAATGATTAAATTTAGTGTTTTATTTTTTAAAACACAAAATCTATTCTAAAAGCACCAAATTTTAGCTTTTACTAAAAGTGCTTTTAACATCAAAATTTTTACTCTTTATTTTATGGGATAATATTCAGCAAATACCTCAAAAAGTGTTTTTTTGCCAAAAACACCACAACTCAAATGGGATGCCTAAAGTTGAGACTAAAATTTAGAGTCTTATATTCAAATATCCTCCCTTTCCCCCCTTCATAAATCCTACTTATCTAATTTTTTTTAAGTGACAACTAATAACCTATTGTAGATAAACTTTACTGCTAATATAAATCTAATTTTTGTATGATGGATTTATCACATAAAGATCACTGGTTGAAATGTTTGTTGTTCTTTGACATGAAAGGAGACTTTGGACTTAGGAGGCTGCTTGCAACATCCCCAGATCAATACCCCTTTATAAGTTGCTGGAATAATGCTGACAACTTTTTTAGAGACACGTATAGTTAATTGCTCATAAATTTTTTGGATGTACAGTTGCACTAAACTCCACTCAACTATTACACAAGTTGTACTCTACCCCTTGTACGTTTTGATAAGCACTTAATCCCCTATATGATATGTTTGGATAAAACTATATAATTGCTAGCCTATTTATGTTTATCTATTTTCTTATTCCCTTTTTCATTTTTTGATATGTTTGATCTGACTTATAATACTTACAAAATAGGTCTTCTCCTGTTTTTCATGTTTGACTTGACTATAATTTTTACTAATATTGAGGCGAGCAATGCTTATTTTGCTTACTAGAAATGTTTTGGTCCGTCAATTTTGCACTGACACATTTAATATTTGACCCATTTCATTCTTCGCTATTATGACATCTCCAATTTATTAACACTTATTATGCGCTTTGAACACCACCATTAAATCATACCACTATTTCCATGGCACCAAAATGTTGTTGAGCAGGCAAACATACAAATCACGAGTTTGGATTGCTATTTTTCTCTAAAAAAAAATTATACGTTTTTTTTTAGCATATTTTTGAATCATTTTTTTATCTCATATATATCGATTCGTTACAATATATTTTTCCACAAAAGCTTCAAATAATAGCAATCCAAATGGACTCAGGTCTCTAGCGAAATATAATGAAACTAGATTTTAAGAACTTACAATAAAAAAATTCACATAATTCAGACACCGTTGAGTTACGATTGTTGATGTTTCATGTAAACATGTTTATTTGCTTGGAAATATACTCCCTGATCATGATTGCAAAAAGGTCATTGATCTAAAAAAAACTATGTAGATAATATCTTAAAATTATTTTCCCAATATGAATTTTGAAAATAAGAGTGTAACATAATAACCAAGATTTTAATTGATTAATAATGCCGTAAACTAATTTATTAAGATAGTTTAATGAGAAATTTTGTTGTGGAATTTGGATTGGGATGCATTTGGATTTTGTTGCTCAAGCTTTTTCTACTTGTGGGGTTTTCTTAAGATAATTTATGCAATTTGAGTATGAAATGGGTCAATATTAAAATGTTTACAATATTTTATAGATCCCAAAATAGTGAAACATTTATCCCAGAAAGTTAAACGCGCGTAATTAAGATGCTTCAAAAGTTATTAAGTTCAAGAAATTATTAGTAAATTAATTCTAAGAATAAAAGAAATGTTTCTTTCCAAGAGGATTAATTTTTTCTATACTTACAGCCTTTAATGAATGACAACTATGTAAAATTTGAATTTGAAATCTAATTTTTATATATGTGTTTTTAATGTATATACTGTCAGTGTACATAAGATTTATTCTTAATAAAATCGCTAATTTCTGAGTGATTTGTCACCAAAACATCACATTTCTTGTCGCGCTATCTGTCTGAGAGAATTTTATATGTATCTTGTTGCTTAGATACAAAATACTCATTTAATTTAAACAAATTCATCTACTACCCATTAGTCCTATTTAAATTAAAGAAAAAAGGAAGGCTATTTGTCTATTAGTCCTATCAACCCAAGGAAAAAAAAAAGAGCCTATCAATCAAAAGAATCACTAAGGCAGGTGGCCACCACTCAGCCATTAAGGCTTGGTCACCAAAATGTCACATTTAAAGTGGTTTGATTTCAAAAAATCCAGACAGGTAGTGCACCCGTCTGGTACGCACCTGTTTGATTTGGTAGTGATTCAATTCCCTCCGAATTATTCCTGAACCTCCTTAGATTCACACCCTCCACCTTCTTGTAGAATAAATTAGGTTATATAATAGTTGTAGATTAGATTATACAATAGTTGTTGTTTTCGAAAAAAAAATCAAAAGAATCACACACTAAAAAAAAGTAAAAATTCCAAATCTATGGGTTCAAAAAAAAAAAAAAAGCGAAGACAAAGGTATGCTCCATGCAAATTGCTAATTATTGGCCCTTTACCCGGCCGCCAATTGCAACGGTCAAATAGAATGCCCGGGACCGGAGATTGATAACCTCTGACACGCGCAATAAAATTTTAATCAATTTTAATAAGAAAGAGAAATGAGCGAGCGTCTCAAATAAAACCCTAATTTCGGTGCCACTACTTTTCCTCTCTCTTCACTCGCCCTCCCAGCAACTCGTACTCGTACGCGTGTTTCCATCTCCTCGCTCTCTCTCTCTCTCTCTCTCTCTCTCTCTCTACATTTCGTGCTCAAACGCGAGGTTTCTAATTAATGGCGCCTTCAGGCGAAGGACCATCAGGGGCCGCGCCCTCCTCCGCCTACGAAGGCGGCGGCGACGGTGTTGGAGGAAAGTTCCGGAAGCGTCCCTTTAAGAAGACGCATACGACTCCGTACGATCGGCCTCCCACCGCCCTCCGAAACCCTAGCTGGCTCTCTAAACTCCTGGTGGACCCTGCTTCGAAGCTCATCGCCGCTAGCGCTCAGCGGTTCTTTGCGCCTCTTTTTCGCAAACGCCTTCCCCCGCCCCCTTCCCCTCCCCCTCCACCGCTTCCAGGTTCATTTGCCCACTCTCTTGGTATCTTTTCGTGTATATATGTAAACGGACGCGTATGTTATTTATGTTTACTTTGAATGTGTCTGTTAATTTGCTTTTGACTATTGGTTTGAGTACCGTTTCTGCTGCTGTTGTGTGAGTAACTAGCTAGGCTTCAGCTGGTGTGACCGAAAGATATGTACTTTCGTTTCTATCTGCTTTTTTTTTTAATATATATACGTGCAATATATCCTTGAAGTTTCATTTTCATTTGTTGGGTGTTAAATTTAATGTACGGATCGCTGGGGAAGATTCAAGAAAGTTAGTTGTTAATTTTTGCTGTAACTCCGTGTTCTGCAGTATTTGAAGCGTCCAATTCCCCCCACCCAAAGGATTAAGGAGACTTTCTACGTTTCCCTGTTTCCTGTTCCCCATATCTACTACTTTTATACGAATTTGGAACGTTGGATTGTTACATTTCCCTGCACGGTGGGTCTACGATTTTAGGAAGTTGGAATGTTGAAGCTTTTAACCTGTACAGTACAGACCGACACTTTGATTCATGTCATTGTAGGATTAGATTGCCTTTTATCCCTTAACTTACAGCAGTATGCCTCTGGTCCTGTAGACTCTGTTGGAGTTAGATTTCCCTGTTGGTCTACAAGTTGCTTTTCCTCTAGGTGCAGGCGACT